AAGCCTTGTAGTATAGACATAGACTAGATAGGAACGACCCTTTTTCCCTAGTGAAGGTGAATTCTAAAGGTATGTCTACACAAGAATTTTTACCTTGTGTTATTTATTTGTCAATTAATTTGAAGTAAAAAGAAAATTGTAGTGAAGAAAAGCTCTTGTACAGCAGTCACCAACCAGTAGATCAGGATCTACTGGTAGATCTTGGAACCTTTGACAGGTGATCTTGACAGGTTTGGCCAGGAGGCTGTCAAGTGTTTGCACTTCATCTGCCCCTCTCAGCACTACCGTGCTGCACCTACCCTCTAAGTTGGAAGTGTCCCTCACCCCCAGGAGCCTCCTGCTTAGTGTGCAGGGCATGGGAAGAAGATGACGGAAGTGAAAATGTCAGGGTGCCCCACCCCCACCCTGTACCCCATCTCCACAGAGCAGATGTGAGGCAGGGATAGAGAGAGTTTTCAGGCTAGTTTTGGGAGTGGTGCAGGGCCGGAGTAGGGTTGCACCTGCCTTAGTCCCTTGTACCACCTGTGGTAAGTGGTGCCCAGCTGGAGCCCACATTCCGAACCCCAGATTCAGTACTGAACCCTTCCTGCACCAAACTCCCTCCCAGAGCCTGCAGCCTGCAGCTCAACTCCTTGCCCCAGGCTCAGCTCAGAACCCCTCCCACACTCTAAATCGTTTAGCCTAAGATCAGTGTCTGCATCCCTCTCCCCTACACCCCAGATCTCTGCCCCCAGCCTAATAAAAGTGAATGAGGATGGGGGAGGGAGGATGGAGTGAGAAGGGGAAGGGCCTCAAAGAAGGGGTGGGAAGGAAGCAAGGCAAGGTTGTTTGGGTTTGTTTTAGATCCTGGATTGCATATAAATTCAAAAAGTGATCTCATACATAAAGGCTACATCTATACTGGCCACAATTTCCAGAAAAGGGATGCAAATCAGGTAAGTCAGGATAGGGAAATCTGCAGGGGATTTAAATATCCCCCGCAGATTTAAATAAACATGTCCGCCGCTTTTTTTCCGGCTTGGGGAAAAGCCGGAAAAAAAACATCTAGACTGGCGCGATTCTCCGGAATAAAGGAATAAGAGGATCCTCCGGAATAAAGGAATAAAGTAGGAATAAGAGATCCTTCGGAAAAGGGCTTTATTCTGGAGGATCGCACCAGTCTAGACACTTTTTTTCCGGCTTTTCCCCAAGCTGGAAAAAAAGTGGCGGACATGTTTATTTAAATCCGCGGGGAATATTTAAATCCCCTGCAGATTTCCCTATCCTGACTTACCTGATTTGCATCCCTTTTCCGGAAATTGTGGCCAGTGTAGACGTAGCCAAAAAGTTTGGAGGATTTGGTTAGCGGGGTCAGCAGCAGGTGAGAGGCATGAGGGAGAGAGCAGGGGTAGGGGGAGTTTGGCTGCTGGTGGGTGCTTTGCAGCCACTAATTTTTCCCCAGAGCACCCATGGAGTTGGCACCCATGTCAGCAGAAATCCAGAATCTTTCTGGATCTTGTCATCCCTGGCTTCTGCGATCTGAGCGAGGTTCCAGCTGCTCCCAGAATATAGCCTGTGAGATGCATCCTGCCTTTCCAGCAATCAGTCTAGAATGAGCTGCACTGTGCCCTTTTATACTGCAGCAACTGTTGGAGCATACCCAGCATAGGTGAGGGGGCATTGCTTCCTCTGCCCAGAAAGTGGATTGACCTCTTGTTGTCCAGTGTGGGGACGTATAACAAATCGTATGTGTTTCTTAACTATGAACACTAAAACATAAGAACTGATATTGTAATAATCAGTGTCAGCTAGTGTAAAGGCAGATGATAATCTTAGTCATACTAATGTCCAATCCTTTTTAAAGCTTCCTCGTGTATTTGCTGCAATAATATTGTAACAAAAGCTATACATGATTTTTTTGTGCTATGTTCAAGAGTAAGAAGAATTGCACAGAAAAGGCCCTGCAGGTTGCCCCAAATACACACTGAGCTGAATATCGAGCAGTTGTATGGTAACAAAGTGCCATCATATTTGATCAACTGTTAACAGCTGATCCTTAAGCCTTTGGGCCAAATTTATCCATGGGGAAACTGACCAGCATAGCAATAGTGGTACGTATACTGTGTCTACACTGCACTCCTTTTCCGGAAAAGGGATGCAGATGAGACAAGTCGGAATTGCAAATGAAGCAGGGGATTTAAATATCCCCCCGCTTCATTTGTATAAACATGGCTGCCGCTTTTTTCAAAAAAAAAAAAAAAAAAAAAAAAAACTAACAAGCGTCTACACTGGCCGCTTGAATTTCCGCAAGAACACTGACTTCCTATTTTCTGAAATCAGTGCTTCTTGTGGAAATGCTATGCTGCTCCTGTTCGGGCAAAAGCCCTCTTGCGCAAATGCTTTTGCGCAAGAGGGCCAGTGTAGACAACTCGGTATTATTTTGCGCAAAAAAGCCCCAATCGTGAAAATGGCGATCGGGGCTTTCTTGTGCAAAACCACATTTAGATTGGCATGGACATTTTTCCGCAAAAAGTGCTTTTGTGGAAAAGCATCAGTGCCAATCTAGATGCTCTTTTCCGCAAATGCTTTTAACGGAAAACTTTTCCGTTAAAAGCATTTGCGGAAAATCATGCCAGTCTAGACGTAGCCAATGTGTATACATGGTAAGCCGATATTTAGAAATAATGTCGAGATGGAGGACTTATTCCATTTCCTGTAGCCCTCATTTCATGGGAAGTAAGGGAAGTCAAAGTAAGAGTGTTCTTCCTTCGATGTCCTGCTGTGTAGATAGCGCCAAAAGCTGAAATAAGCTATTTGGACTTACGCTATGCAATTGACATAGCTGAAGTTGCATATCTTAATCTGACTTTTGCCCTCCAGTGTAGATGTGCCTCTGTCAATTTCCCCTTATAGACAAGCCCAAAACAAGATCAATATGCAGAACAAGAGAGGACCAAGTGATGTTGAAGGCCCATCTTACATTTGGAAACCTTTGGTAATTAACAGTAGTATTTTTTTAATAAAGAAATAGGAAGAATAAGTGGGTTTGATCTTTGGTTCTGGTGGAGGGCTTGAAGTGTACAATACCCATAACATGAATCCACAGGGGCAGCCAAAGATCTATGAACCTGTTATGTCTTTGTTGTAAATTAGAGTGACTTCAAGGCTTCTCTTACGTAAATCTGCTACAATAGCCTCCTTATAGTTGTTGGAGTAATAGCAATTCTGGCCATAACCACGCCTGTCCTTAGCATGCTACCTAAACAGGGGGGATTCCAGGAGTGAGGGCACAAAGGAGAGAGAGCAGATACTGAGGGAACTGGCCTGCTTTATGTAGCTGGAAACATCTTGGAATCCTGCAAGCAAGATATAAACTGCACTTGGCTTTTTGCCATCTAGGATCTCTGTTGAAGAATTAGCCATTCTGTAAGTACATTAGACTAAAATATAATATCCTGGGTCCAAATCTATTAATTTTTCCTCCCAAAGCCCACTGCTAAAATCCTGAAACTTCCTGACAACTCAGAAGTCACCATAATTTCTTGCTATGTCAGTAAATTTCATTATTTATTTATAATGTAAAAAAAGTATTTCTTCCTTTCATATCTCTTTTAATTGAATATCCTTTTAATTTCATCAAGAGTCTTCTTGTTCTTGTGTTATGATAAAGGATAATCAAGAGTGCTGAAATGTCCTGCTTTATACCATGAACTATTATTCGCACTAACTGTACTATCTTCTCTCGCGCTTATCCTTTCCATATTCATTACTCTTCCTCTCTTTAATCTCTCCTCATATGCAAACTCCCTTCAAAGGCTTCCACAGAGAAGTGGATTGGATGTAATGAAGGAAAACCTATTAAAACTAATCTATAATCTCTTTGAGAATAATAGAACCAAACATATCAAGATAAAGAGGGACAACATAAAAAAAAAGAAAAGGAAGGTTTATTTCCTTTGCATAGTGGAAATACCTCAGGCTAAGAGCTTATTGAATAGGCCACATATATTATTATCTTCTCAAGGGACTTGACACCACAGGCTTTTTGTCCTCAGTATTAGTTATGTTGGCAGGTGTTCTGCAAAGCTCAGAACTTGGCCGTTTGGAAATCATGATTTAAGTTATTTCTTTCTGAGTCACTGTCTCCTAACAGTCCTCAATTTAACATCATTCTGTGCCACACTAAAATATATTTCTTAAATATGACACACTCCACCACCACTTTTCTTGGTATAGAATGAAACTTTTACTGAACCCTACCATTCAATCTCTGCACTTCCCGTGTACCTCAGCTTTCTGATTCCTGCTAATGTTCATTTTGTTCCTGTGAATTTACTACTGTCATATGTCTCTGAATAGTTTAAGTACCCTCATAATTACATAATATGTTTTAATTTTAGCAGCAGATTGATCACCATCAAATTCACAAAGTTCTGGAGTCTCAGTAGTTGAATGAAGATAAAATATTACCCATATGTAAGTACATCATGTTTCAGACATCAGTTTAACTTGATTTATGGTAAGTTTACCTAAATTTTGCATTCCTTTATACATTTTGAAGCACAATTTCAAATGGCAAATTACCTGGGATTAAAAGCCATTTCAGGTCTGGTGAACAAAGTCACCAGCTTCATGGAATATGTAGAAGTCTGAAATGTATTTAGCCAACTTCTGGGCACAGATACCCATGTTCAGCTTTCAAAATAGCACATGTGTGTCTGTGTGTGCACAGAGCACGCATGTATATATATGTAGTTGAAGACCAAATTTGGTCCTCAAGCTTTTTTTGCCTTGGGCATTCAAAGGGTCTTGTTTAAAGACAGGCATTCTTAAATGGAGTGAACCTCCATAATATTTTATAAAAGTTAATGTTTGCATTACTTTCTGGTGGGTATATGTCATATTTTGAAGGCAGAAATTTTCTAAAAGTAAGTTCACTGAACCATAGAAAGTCAATAACATTGGCATATAGAATTTGCCATATTAGTTATAGCATTGATCCATCTGCAAGTGACACTTACCTCAAGCAGTATCAAGTATAGGACATGTCACAGGAAGGAATCTCCACTTTCCACTCTCTTCAGACATATAATGCTTCTTGACAGTTATGTAACCTTGTGGAAGTAAAAATTATATTCCTTACCAACTCTCACCAATGATTAGTTTGTGGCTCAAAGACAAGATTGGATATGTCTAACTTTCACTGGAAAGAACAGATTTTCTGGTGACTTAACTGAAAATAATCAAAAATGGATCATGAAAAGAAAGCAAATATATATCTTCGCATTAGCAAAAACTGGGAGGGAAAGCTATGTGATCTACACATTGGGAGCTGGACTGTGCCCTGTGCTTACTCAGGCAAGTACCCTTTGTGGCTACATACAACCTACCCAGATCTTGGATTCAAGCTCAAGGTGGAGACCGGGATGCCTGATATTTCATCACTTGAGCAAGTGAGCACAGGACAATATAGATTATGTATTATATCCCAAACCATATACCCAGATCAGGTATATCACTGGTCAACACTTATGACTCCATATTCGGAATTCAAACTAAAGATAAATTAAGGAATCCAAAAACAGTTTGTACTTGTTACTCAAAAAATTCCCACTGGAGACCACCCAGGGTTACACTAGGATGGGTTAATTGTTTGAGGAATTAACACTCCACTATATGCACTATTTGGTTAAACTAAAGAGGAACCAGCTATCTCTCTCACACACAAACACATACACACACCTTCATTCATTCACATACATTTTCCTGCCCTCAGGCACTCACACATTTACATAGACATATGCAGAGCAGCACTGTCCTTAAATTGGTTGGATGACTCATCACCTGGCTCCACTTGTTCAGCCTTGCAGTTTCTAATCCTAAACACACAATAGTCTCCATTCTCACACAAACATTCATATCTCAGGGGAGAAAGAAGTTTAGAGCAAGTTACAAGCAAAGTGGTTGAGAGTTACAAAGATTACAAGTTGCAAGTCTCAACAATCACCAAGCTCACAGTAATTTTCTAAATTTATAAAGCCAAGTTGCTGAGAGTTACAAAGTTGGAAGGTTTAACAAAGATTACAACCAGTTGCAGAGTTTAAAAGGCAATGCAGTTGAAACAATTACAAAGCTTCAGAGAGTAATTTACAAATCATCAGTAATGAAGAGACTTAAAAGACAACTGCCTCCTCTCCCCCCAGCAATGCAGTCAGCAGGGTTTTTTGTCACTCTCTAAGTAAGTCATGGGTTGGCAGGACCTTACAATTTAGTGTATTTCCAGAAAATCCATGTGTAAAATCAAGTAATAGCTCGTGCGAAGGCATCTATGCAACAGTACTTACTACTAAGAACAATGACAAAGAGCTGAAGCAAAATGCAGGACAATGTAGCACTTTAAAGACTAACAAGATGGTTTATTAGATGATGAGCTTTCGTGGGCCAGACCCACTTCCTCAGATCAAATAGTGGAAGAAAGTAGTCACAACCATATATACCAAAGGATACAATTTAAAAAAATGAACAAATATGAAAAGGACAAATCACATTGCAGAACAGAAGGGGGATGCGGGGGGGTGGGAAGGGGGAGGAAGGAAGGTAAGTGTCTGTGAATTGCTGATATTAAAGGTATATTGGAGGTGATAATTGGGGAAACTAGAGACTCCCATGAGTCTCTCGAAAAAGCCAAGTGAAACCAAATGGATTTGACACATACTTGTGCGAAAATGTGAAAGTATAAAATCAACTGAAGTGAAGGAAAAGGGCAAGTATATATTGTCTATGCCTGGTGTCTCTTGATTTATACTTAAATCATAAACCTCTTTGGTACAGGGAGGTTGAAATGAAAAGTTCAAAAGGCACTGCCTAATGTTCTAATAAAGGATAAATCTCTAATGCATCAAAAGATACAGAGCTTGAAAAAATCAAAGTGACTGTAAGTAATTGACTTTCAGTGGGAATGGAAAGCAATTATTCTGATTCTAACCTTGGCCTATAGTTGAATAGATTTTGAATTTTTAAAACAATGGAGTTGTCCTTTTATATCTTAAGTATATTCCATGTTTTAATCAAGTATCCATAGAATCAGAGACCAATACCCCCGCGGCATTTGCATTTACACGGCTGCTGCTTTTTTCCAGCTCGGGGTTTTTGCCGGAGAAAAGTGCCAGTGTAGACGCGATTCTCTGGAAAATAAGCCCAACTTTTAAGTAGGAATAAGGGATCTTCCGGAAAAGGGCTTATTTTCCGGAGAATCACATCTACACTGGCGCTTTTCTCTGGCAAAAACCCCGAGCCGGAAAAAAGCAGCAGCCATGTAAATGCAAATGCCGCAGGGGATAATTAAATCCCCCGTGGATTTGCAATTCTGAAGTGTCTCATTAGCATCCTTTTTCCGGAAAGGGATGCCAATGTAGACACAGCCAAGGTGTGTGTAAAGTACTTAGCAAAATAGAGCCCCAGTTCTTGGTTTGGTACTACGGACTACTGCAATACAGATGAGGAACTGCAGGTAGGCCATCTGCTCATGCATCAGGTCTTCCCAGTGCATTTCCTCCAACAAATCCTGCACAGTCAGGAAAATGTCATGGGAGGCGGTGGATATGCCACGATCACAGCTGGCCCAGCTGTGAAGAAAAGTTACAAGGGCAGTCATCCCTGAAGACACTGTGTATGATTCCCAGCCCTGATCTCTGAGCCAACACCGAAGGTCTCAGTTCAGACAATGGGGATGTGCTTTGAGCAAGGCCATATGTTGGCCAGACAGCAGGTACTTTCTTTAAGAGGCATGGATATCCCAGCAGAGTATTACTACACCCATAGGCCGGGGACAAACAGGCATAGGAAAGTGCCAGCCAGGCCAGGAACCTGCGAGCAGCATGGGGAACAGGGCCGCTCAGCTTTCTTCTGTGACCCACACACACTGAGTCCAGCACTGGTGTCACTCAGAGAGAGAACTTCTGTCCCAGCCCACTAGATGAGAGGAGGTGTGTGTGAGAGGCAGAGGCCACTTGCCAGAGAGAGTGCTACTGGGATCCCTTCCTCTTCCTCCCGCCTGGCAGGTATCTATGCAGGGGATCTGTGTCCTCCACATTGCCATGCTTGACCAGGAGCAGATGCTGCCTGAGTGCAGGCATGAGCCTATACTGTGTACAGCACTGCTGTGTGTTTCCATGACCCCAGACTCCACAGTGGTGGCTTGTGGTGGAAAGGTGTCCACCATAGAGGCCAGAGTAAGTCAGGCCTCTCCAGGAACCTTGAGAGAAGGAGCAAGGGGTTCCTGTGTGAGTGTGTCATGGGGCTGAATGCTCCAGACTAGCACTGCATGTGCACTTACATGTGTAGGCTGTTATGCAGTCCCACCCCTCCCCCCCCCAGGCCAAGTAGGCCAAGCGACAAGTGCATAGTCACTCACAGCCCATCACCTGCCCCTGCGTGCATATAGGGAAAGTTGTAGAACTCACTTGAAGTGCCTTCCCCAGGTTTGTCCAATGTCTAGGAGACATCCTGGGAGGAGGGACTGGCTCCAGGGTGAGGAGCAGGTCCTGGCTTGTAGGCAAGGTCACCTGGCTGGCCTCCTCCTCCTCATCCTCCACAACCCTGCCTTCATGGAGGCTGATGCCAGGCATGTCCTGGCCAGACTCAACTATGACCAGAGTAGGGAGGGTGACTGGCCCCTCCCAGGATGGCATCGAGCTGCTCATAGTAGTGGCACATGTGAGGCACCACCCCACAGCATCCACTCTGCTCCTAGCCTTATTTTAGGCCTTCCAGTCCTCCTTGATTTTTATCCAGACCTGGTCAAGGGTCCGGGTATGGCCTTTGTCAGCCAGGCCGGTGGACATCTGGCCATAGATGTTGGAGTTGCACTTCCTGGTGCAGAGATCCTCGAGGTTGGTCTCCTCATCCCAGACCTCAGTGAGGTCCAGGATCTCTGCACAAGTCTAGAACAGTGCTCTTCTGCCTACCTGCCAGTAGCAGCCCAGGGTGGTGTGGGAGTGCTGGGAGCCATGGGGGGCTCAGGGGCAGTTCTAGGCTCTTCCATGGCTCCATCTGCTGAGGATTTATGATATAGGCTGTCAAAGCTTTCCACATGCCACAAACCCTTTGCCTGCAACCTGCTGCTTTAAGCTCCGCAGGAGGATGGGGAGCAGTGGAATTGGCAGGTGTGGCCAGACTGACCACAAGTGCAGCTGTGAGATGCCTCTGGAGGCCAATTACTTTGAATTAAAAGCACCAGATCACTGACGCTAATACTATTTTTAAATATCAATTTTGAAATAAGCATTATTCCCTGAGGACAGCAGTACAGATTTTGAAATAACCCATCCATTATTAAGAAATAGCGGGCTTGGTAGTGTGTACACTTCACTTGTTATTTAAAAATAAGGGGAGTTATTTTGAAATTACTTCCTAGTGTAGACCAGGGCTCATAGGATTGGCTTTATACTTATGAATGGCCACACATGAATTTGTCACAGTCTGGTCCTAAATTGTCATAGCTTTGTATATTTTTAAGGGAAGAAAGGAATATTTTTATTAGTTATTATAACCTTCTGTATAACACAGGCCATTGAATTTCACCCACCAATTTGTGCATGAGCAAGAGGCCATTAACTTCTGGTTGAGATGGAGCATATATTTTTGAAAGATATCCATCTCAATTTAATGATGTCATTTAAGACAGAACTATTTTAAGTAGTTCATATGTGTGGAAGAAAAAATATATATATTTTAAGCAATCCATATGTGCGGATACCTCACCGCAACTAGACCCAGGTGTCTTGTTTTGATATATTTTCTTCCATGCATATGGGCTGCTTAATATATATATTTTAAGCAGTCCATATGTGTGGAAGAAAATATATTAAAGCAAGACATCTGTGTCTAGTTATGGTGAGGTACCCTGAGTGACTACAAAGATGCTGAACAAAGGTATGGAATTATCCTTCTTCCACTCAAGAAAGAGTAGAAGCCCCAGAACAAATTAACACATGGCTTCAGGGTTTGTAGACTTGCAAATAAGGTTTCAGCCTACAAAACTAGCATCACATCTTGTCCTTCCTACTTCTGACTCATAAGAGCCAGCACTCTACCACGTAGCAAAGATTTAACCTTAATACGGTACAATTTACCTTGCATTCATAACACAGGATCTTAAAAAAATCATTAATATCAGAGTTTTAGATATCTGCAACACCCAAAAATATCTGTTAAAAGAATCTTTCTTATCTTAAGCCATTAACACCAATGTAAACTTTGTTTGAAATGTAATCATGCAAATGTCCTCCTGGCACACAAACCACCTATGCAGCCTACTTCCCTCTCCCTCCAACCCAACCAGACAGAGTACTGCAGCAAGTGAGTCAGGAAACCCCAAACAGACTGCCTTCTGCCTCCACTTCACTGGATGCCAGCATTCACCCAGACGCTCTTTCTCCCACCTACCCCATGCAGTCAGCCCCTTAACTCCCCCTTCCCATCCCAGGAGGGTTAAAGAGACTGCTGGGTTTTTGCCTCTCTAGCTCTCTCCCCTCAGGCAGACTGGACTCTCCAAACTCTCCTCTCCTCCCCTCCCCTCCCCTCCCCTCTGATTCCCGTGCCCAAGCCAATTAATTACTTACTCGCTCCTCCAGCCTCTTATTCCCTGCTTAGATTTTGATCTGAGGAAGTGGGTCTGGCCCACGAAAGCTCATCATCTAATAAACCATCTTGTTAGTCTTTAAAGTGCTACATTGTCCTGCATTTTCCTGCTTATATTGTCTGCTTATCTGCTCTGAGAGCTCTTCAGTTCAGCTGTTTGGCTGCTGCTGCTTACAGATACCTCGCCCTCCTGCCAGTCAACTGAGCTCCCTGTCTGCATGGGAGTTTTGACCCTCTGAGCAAGCCTTGGAAAACAGCCACGTGGTCACGCAGATATGCAGCTTAGAAGGAACTTAGCTGGTGAGACCTCATCTGAAATACTTTCTGCATTTCTGGAACCCCATGTTTCAGAAAGGTGCATTCAACAGGTGCAGGAAAGGGCTATTAAGATGATCCAAGAAATGGAAAATCTACCTCATTAAAAGAGAGTCAAAGATCTTTGCTTGGTTAGCACAACTAACAGAAGGCTGAGGGGAATATGAATGCTTTCTATAAATACATCAGAGGGATAAATACCAGGGAGGGTAAGGAGATATTTAAGTTAAACTCCAGTATATACCCCCCCAAAAATGACTATAAATTGGACAGCAACTAATTTAGTCTCAAAATTTCTAATCATCAGAGGAGTGAAGTTCTGGAACAGCCTTCCAAAAGAGCAGTGTGTATTTGGAAACCCTAAGCTTGTTATGTTTATGGAGAGGATGTTACAATAGGATTGTCTATGATGGCAACGGTGCCATTTAGAGAAGGGGGCACCTACCCCCCTCGAATTTTGTACCAGAGATCAGCTCACACTCCTGCCTTAGATGGAACTTTGACTTGCAACACAGTGTATGGAACATAAATTCTGTGCTGTTCTCAACTTCCGCCCTTGGGGAAGCTTGTTATGTTTATGGAGAGGATGTTACAATAGGATTGTCTATGATGGCAACGGTGCCATTTAGAGAAGGGGGCACCTACCCCCCTCGAATTTTGTACCAGAGATCAGCTCACACTCCTGCCTTAGATGGAACTTTGACTTGCAACACAGTGTATGGAACATAAATTCTGTGCTGTTCTCAACTTCCGCCCTTGGGGCAGTGAGTTTCTTTATAAACAGAGGCAGAATGATTAAGATAGCAAAATGCTTGTCATTAAATTAAATTAAGGATTGTTAGAGGATCCTAAAAGCATTGCCAGTCACTCCAGTTAAAAGAAGATACGAATAGGAAACGAAGATAGGAATAGATAATCAGTTTTCAGAATGGAGAGGAGAAATTGTGGCATCCCCCAGCAGTCTGTACTGAAACCAGTGTGGTTTAATATGCTCAAAATGATCTAGAAAAAGAGGTAAAGAGCGAGGTGGCAAAATTTGTAGATTATACAAAATTATGATAATTCAGTCAGAAACAAAGGAGCAATGGAGGATGGATCATTTGACAATTACCTGTTCTGTTCATTAGATCTGAAGCACCGGACATTGGTCATTGTTGGAAGACAGGCTACAACGATGATGGATCGCTGCTTTTATTCAATATGGCATTTCTTATGTTTTTATATACAACCCGGACATATCTGTCCTTGCTGTAAACTTAGACACCACTCCACTCCCAGAGCTTAGATAGAAACCAGGAGTCCTGACGGGGATCTTCCTTACCACAGGATTATTAACAAGGTACGACTATACATTCAACCTAACCAGTGTTCCTTTAGTGACTTTCCAGAAGATTTCAGAATATGTTAGGGTATGTCTACACTAGAAAGTTAATTCGAACTAACAGCCGTTAGTTCGAATTAACTTTAATAGGGGCTACACATGCAAACCGCTAGTTCGAACTTAATTCGAACTAGTGGAGCGCTTAATTCAAACTAGGTAAACCTCATTCTACGAGGACTAATGCCTAGTTCGAATTAAGTAGTTCGAACTAAGGGCTGTGTAGCCACTTAATTCGAACTAGTTGGAGGCTAGCCCTTCCCAGGTTACCCTGGTGGCCACTCTGGGCCAAACCAGGGAAACTCTTCTGCCCCCCTCCCGGCCCTGGAGCCCTTAAAGAGGCACGATCTGGCTACAGTGCTTGTGCCAGTTGCAAGCCTGCCAACACCCAGCCAGCAGACCCTGCACCTGGCACGGCATGAGCCAGCCACCCGCTGCCACCCAGCCCTCTGCCTCTTCCCAGGACCAGGCTGGCAGCTCCCAGGAGCCTGCCCGGGGCTGCAAGAGGCGGGCGCCCGCCTGGTCTAGT